TAAATCCACTTTATTGCTTTGCAGACGATGGCAATGTAGTCTCCTCACTCATACCACCCACAGGTCTTTCCGCACGTGAATTCCATCATCTTAGACTAACTCAAATATCGCAGATAAATAACGACCTGGAGATAATAGAGGACTGGGGTAACAAAAACCTTGTACAGTTCAACGCGCAGAAAACCCAAGCAGCTCTGTTTTCAAAAAAGACCAGCACCGGTGAGCCAAACATAATGCTATCTGGAAGTGCTGTCACATTACAGAGTCAGTTGAACATCTTGGGGGTTACTGCAGAGACCAACATGTCTTGGCACAGTCACGTGGCAGATATTGCTAAAAGGGCCTCCCAAAAGCTGGGGGTGCTATTTCGTACAAGACATCTGTACACACCAAGCCAATTGCTGACACTCTACAAAGCCCAGATTCGACCAACTATGGAGTACTGCTCACATATATGGAGTGCAGCACCCAAACATACCTTAATGCTTTTGAATACCGTGCAAAAACGAGCTATCAAGCTGATCAATGACCCCGCACTTACTCGTAACTTGGATGGTCTCGAACATCGCAGATCTGTGGGCGATTTATCTCTCTTCTACAGGTACTATCACGGAAAATGCTCTGAAGAGTTGGCACGTATGATTCCACCGAAAGTAGCACCTACCACCTACCAGGCGAACCCGTCAAACAGACGGTAACCATGAATTTACTGTCAAACTAGAGGCACCAAGAACCTCATTATATCAGAATTCATATCTCTGGAGAACAGCATCGCTGTGGAATAAACTCCCTGCGACGGTTTTCCCTGCAGGTTACAGCCTGAACCGTTTCAAGACCAACATACACCGACATTTCCACGCACTTGCCGCTTCTCGAGCGTGATAGGACATTTCCTTGCGAGTGCGCATATCCGTAAAAATTTTTGTCCTATTGGTCTTTTGGGATCTCCCAAACTTCATACACTAAATTATTCTGAGATTTGGAGCCAGGTTCTATAGGAATAGGCACTCAGAAAAATTGAAAAATTGATAAATCACCCCAAATTGCTTAACACGATTTTATTTCTGAAACTATAGGTCCAAATGAGCTGAAATTTTCAGGTATCGTAGGTCTCTACTGGGATAAGAATCGCTGAAAATTTAAGCTTTCTATCTTCAATAGAAAAAAAGTTATGACCTTTCAAAGTTTTCCAAGATCTAAATCATAAGGTATCTACCTTCTTACTGAAACGATGAAATTTCAAATTTTTTTCTATTGAGATTTTGTATCCTAATGGTCCTTTGGGATACCCTGATCTCCATATACTAAATTATTCTGAGATTTGGAGCTAGATTCTATGGAAAAGGGCACTCAGAAAAATTGATAAAACCACCCCAAATTGCTCAACATGCTTTTATTTCTGGAACTTTAAGTCCAAATGAGATGAAATTTTGAGGGATTGTAGTCCTCTACTGGGATAAGAATCGCTGAAAATTTCAACTTTCTATCTTTAATAGAAATAAAGTTTTGACCTTTCAAAGTTTTTCAAAATCAAAATCATAAGGTACTCTTACAGAAACGATGAAATTTCAATTTTTTGTTTGTTGAGATTTTGTCTCCTAATGGTCCTTTGGAATCCCCCAAACTCCATACACTGAATTATTCTGAGATTTGGAGCCAGATTCTATGAAAAAATGCACTCAGAAAAATCGAAAAATTGATAAATCACCCCAAATTGCTTAACACGATTTTATTTCTGGTAGGGGAGAAGGGGGTACATTCGGCCCTTTTTATTTAAAAAAATCATCAGATGAACATGTATGTATTTAAAGAAAAATCATTGATACCACACCCATTAATATAGATTAGGAAAGGTTAGGACACAGGCTTAGGTCACTGTATTACCTCTATCAAAAGATATTTGTAGTTTTCCGAAATGATACAAAGTGATGAAGCTACCCCATAGGTGGGGTACTTTCGGCTAAGGGGTGGGGTACATTCGTCAGTACATTATCAACACAGAAGCTTTATAGATTTGACCTTATTTATTTCATAGAACTACTTTACATTAAGAGAACTGAAATTATAACCGAAAGTATAGATAGAAGAAGTTCTTGCAGTGCCAGTTTGAGGCGGAGTGTGGAGCTTTGCAACAATGTCTGAGATATTAGTGTCAGTTATGTCTTCAACTGATGGGAAAAAAAATTTCTGACTAAATCTCTTTCTTCTCATGAACTTGATTGTATACGAAGAAGAATTAACTCGTTCAATACGACCTGCATAGTGCACCAATATTCCAGAGTCTGTACGAAATTTAACAAGAACGTAGTCGCCAATTTCAAGATCTCCCTCGGAAGCACTTTCTAGCTCTTCAAAGTCATCACTGCTTTTGGATTCAACATCATCCAACGAAACATCAGAATCGCTCGAGTCTTCCTCATACTTTTTCATTTTCTGCTTTTTTACCTTTGTGTCAAATAAAACATTTTTCTTCACCGTCTGGTTTTTCTTTACTGCTTGCTTTCTCTTTTTTTCCAGTTCTATGTTCTCTCTTATCTTCAATTCAGGAGTGTCGGTGTAAATTGTTGATTTCGACTTCCTTCTGCCACTCCTTGGTTTGGTAATGGGAGCTTTGGGGTAAGGAATCAGTTGCTCCAGGCTCAGATGAGAAGTTGAAGGTTGAGGAGTAACTTCTCGTGAGTTGGGATTATCATCATGGGCAGCATCAGTTGAATGATTTCCATGTGAGCCATTGTATTCAGGACTGGCTGATTGATTCATTGAATCTTCATCATCATGAGGTTCTTGTGGAAGTTCATCTGGGATCAAAGGCTTATCTGTCACACTGCTTGCTGCAAAATCCACGTCAGAAAATATTAGCTGTTGATTGGCCATAAACCAGTTTTCTCAAAAGCTTGGGTAATATTTTTGATGGAAAAAGCACGTTCGTACGCTTTGTTAGCCAAATATCCAATGTTTCTTATGGTTATGGCTTGACCTGGGTGCGCTAACATCCAATCGTTGAATGCTGTGGCCAGGTAAGCTTTGAATGGGGCGTAAACTCCCACATCCAAAGGCTGAAGCCTATGGGTGGTATGGGGTGGAAATGACAGCAGAACAATTCCATCGGATTTACAGTATCTTATTGCTTCCACCGAGATGTGGGATTCATGATTATCTATTAATAGCAATATTTTGCTATCTATAGAACAGCGAGCATATTTCACAATTTGTTTCAAAACATCTGGGAACAATTCCACAGTCATCCAACCAGACTTATTTCCTAGCGCCACAGATCCCAAAGGTGACCCTTCTGATAAATATTCGGAGGGGTTTCTAATTCTGGGAAAAACGAATATGGGAGGAACCGTCGCGCCAACAGCGTTAATGATGCCTACAAACGTGACCAACGAGCCCCTTTCTGCGGAAGCAATTTGCCCCACTTGCTTCTTCCCTTTAGCAGTGACAACTTTCACAGGCCTTGAAACAGTCGTGATTCCAGTTTCATCTAAATTCCACACTTGATCAGCACGAAATTTGTACTTTTCCAACACAGAAGCATATTTTTCAAAAAAGTTATCCACAACAGGTTTATTAAATGCCATTGAACGGCTTAAGCTTGTACTCTCTGGTTTTCGTAATGACAGCTCTTGATGCCTTTTCATGAAACTGAATAGCCAGTCCAGTCCTGCAAAATAAATGACAAATTATTTTTGTTCAAAAAAAAAACCGAAATGATAACCTGCTGCTTTATTTTTTTCCCAATTTTCAGGCATTTTACAATTCGGAATTGATTTTGCAAATTCATATGCCACAGTTCTAATCTGCTTGTATGATAATCCATAGTGTAGGTTTGATGATTTTTTTATGTAGTCACTTAGTTCATCTTCTTGTCCTCTGTTGAAGACTTGCTTGGCAGTGTATTTGCTATTGTATTTGGGGGTATCTTCTTTGCTTTCATTGCCCGAATCACCCCTGAGAATTTCTTCTATTGTTTTTTTTTTTAGTAGTGTTTTGATTCTGGATTGCAGCGTAGTCCTTTTGACACCATATTGCCTAGCTGCTTCTTTCACTTTCAATCTCTTCGCGATACATTCTTTCATCGCTGATTTCATTGCATTTTCATCAATATCAGCCCTGTCGGTTTTTCTGATATATGTGCGTGGCATCTACAAACATAATAGGTATGTATAAAGTAGGTGCCTACTTATAAATGCACTTTTTCAGTTAAACTATGCAACTAACGAAATTTCTCAAATCTATTTTGATGCACTATACTAAATTATGGGTAGATTCGGCAGGATGGGGTAGATTCGTCATGATGCCGAATCTACCCCAATATTCACGACGAATGTACCCCATGTGTATAAATATTACTAGCCAAGAAACCAACACAAAACCTGCCTAGTTTTAGGCAAGGCTGTACCAGGATCTCTATTTAATGGTAGCAATGTAATGTATGGCTAAATTGATATCTATTTATTCTCACAACAAGTATTATAGGTTTTATATCTAAATTCGTCAAAAACTTACCTTGTTTGAGGCATAAAATTAATTTTTATCACGAACACGTCAATAGCACAGCTTCACCTTTTATAGGTTATCAAACCAACATGGCCATTTGTCTGATGACATTTCATGTCATTTTGGCGCCAAATTTTGAAAAATACCAGTTATTTTATTAAAAGACGAATGTACCCCACTGCCGAATGTACCCCCTACTCCCCTACTAGAGATCCAAATGTTCTGTGGTCCAAATGAGTTGAAATTTTCAGGGATTGTAGGCCTCTACTGGGATAAGAATCGCTGGAAATTTCACCTGTATTGAAAAATATTTCCAGTTTTCGAGAAAATTGAGTTTGAAGTTTTTTACTAAATTTCAACTAAAATTCAACTTTGAGCCTCAATTGCTCGAAAAGTATTTGAGCTATCAAACTCAATTTTGCACAGATTTATAGAGAATTTAATGCTGCGTATAATTTATTTTGGTTTGTTTAAATTTTACTTTAAAAAAACTCATATTAAAAGTAAAATAAACTTTATTTTAACTCATTAAATCTGTAATAAGTTTAACAATAAATATAATCATGAAGAAAATTTGTAGTTTAAAAAAAAAAACAGTAAAACCATTAAGTAGGTATTTCTTTTCTACATAATTATTTCAATATTCAATTTATGTAATACTTATTATATACAAGTTGAAATTCCTTATTATAATTTTTGAAATATATATTATGATTGTGATATGAAACTTTCTTAAATTCAAAGATAATATTTTTGTAGACGCTCAATGAGCAAGAATAAGTTAACCTTAATTCTAAATTCAAAGGCATTAAAGCCAAATATTATCAAGTGAAAATGCAACTGCAAGAGAAAATATCCTATCTACTTTATATAACTATTAAAATTAGGGTTCTGATGCCATCCTTATCCTGGCAGATTCTCTAGATTTGTTATGGATTTCCGCTGTCCTCAGAGTAATACCGAAAATGTCTTCGTGATAACGATTTTGATCCTAGAAAAAATATCAATCAAAACCAAAATTAAAGTCGATCTAAATTTGTTAATATACCCTTAACGACAGCAAACAAGATTGAACTTCATTTTCTGACATGCCTCCATATGTTTGTATGATTTTCTTCAGGGTTTGATAGACGTGTTCCGCCATAGTACAATCGCCGCACACATAAAAATGCCCTTCTTGTATCACTAGTAATTTGTAAATTTCAGCTGCCTCAGTCAAAGCTAAATCTTGAACGTAAGTCTAAAGAAAAATTAGTATTTTAGGTTGTTTTATTCATTGGTTATTATTCGCAAGTACTTTTTTGATGTTTGGCTCTCTGGACAAAGCCAAAAACACTCTATCCAAAACCTTGCCCTGTTTCATTTCATCTTTTTCCTCCTTGTATAAATCCATTTCTTTTGTCCTACAGCCAAAGAACAACCAAATTTTGCCTAATTGATGTTTGGCTTTCAATTGTGCATATCTGAAATCCCGTTAATAACAAATAAATTCCATCTCAAGACAATTATTAGGTACCTGTGTTGCCAAAAAGCTCTAAATGGTGCAATTCCGGTACCGGGTCCCACTAGGATTATGGGTTTCGATAAGTCATTAGGCAAATAGAAGTTTGGAGCACTAAAAATAATTAGCAATGATGTCTAGGTTGAATAAATTTATAAGGCAAAATACCTTCTGACGAATAAATAAACATCTTGGCCTGCTTCGATGTCTTGTAAGTAGTTGGAACATACACCGTAATGGACTGGACCTTCACCTCCTAAATAATAAAAATTTGTATTTGTTTGTTGCAACTTCGAAGCATTATGGTCCCAACAAAGTTTGCTTTATTTTGCGTTGGAAAATTGCAGGAGCATTCACAAGTCTGAAAGGCATGCTGAGGAACTCGTAATGCCCAAACGCAGTTTTTGTATTTTACTTATGTATATCATTATTACCTTGTGTATGATAAACAACTACAGCTACAGTCAAATGCAATTCGCTAGGATGCATCAAAGGACTCGAAGATATCGAGTAAAACCTCGGCTGTAGTATGCTCAATTGAGAAACCAATAATGGAGCGTATGGATTGACCGAAGGAAATTCTTGTAGAACTTCAGCCAAGTTGGGAAAGTTCCAGTGGCGCCAGTCTTCGTAAGCGGAAGAGTCCTATATACATGAATTAATGTAAAAATAAATCTATTAATAAACGAGTTCTTACTGTTGCTAATAAATTGAGTCTTTGTTGGTCTTGTTGATCAGTCGCAAGGCTGGCAAAGTGGTGCAATAAATACGGAGATGGTGGAGTGGTGATATCCAGGAAACGAGTGAGTAGGTCTCTCAGCGAAGCAGCTGGAAGACGCTCGTGTGGTTTCCAGTTTTTGACGACACCTAAAATCAAATAATAATTATTCAATTTTATATAGTAAAACATGCGATTTTTTACCATTCGAAGTGTGGGTTTCTTTTAAAAATTGCAACTCCAATGCTTGGTCAGCATCGGCAACTCCTTTAACTCTGTTGATGATTACATCTACCAATTCTTTTCTGTTCATTGGGAAAACTCCGACGTGGTCGCCAGGTTTGTAAATGAGTGAGTTTTTGAATTGTAGCAGCAGGGTGGCTTTGGAGGATTTTTCGTTGAGTAGGTTGGTGCGTTTAATTAAGGGTGTTAGAGAAACCTAAAATCGAATAATTGAGTCCTAATTACTAATAATATTTGTGAAAATATAAAAAGATTACAAGTGGATTTTGGGAGAAAAAGATTCAGGGCCGAAGCAACATCCTCAGTTCAACTTAATAATACTTCTTAGAAATAGCGGGAGAGAAATTAGGTCGTCAACGAATTGAAAAAGTTAATGATGGGATCAAAAGTGTTTGAACAATTAGGTAGGTAGTTTAAGAAATAGAAATTGACTATGGGCGGACAGTTACACAAGGTTCCTGAAGTTAATACGTTGTCTGGTAATGGGTAACTTGATGACGCATCTGGGGTGCTTTGTGGAGATTTGCATTATGTTGAGGCACTCTAGATGACGTCATAAAGTTATCAGGCAACCTACCTCTCTCAAACAACCTTGGCAACAGTTTCAAAAGTTACAATTAGATGGCGTTTCAAGGAGAAAAAGTATTTCAATGAGCTATTATTCCCGGCTCTTGGAACTGAATCAAAAGCCGGGAATAAGCAAAAAAGGATTCTGACTAATGAAATATGAAAATTTGGAACTTATCAACCAATCAAATCAGCAAGTAAAACGTCATTATGAGACTCTCCATCGACATTTGCCTAGTGAATACTAATAGCAAAATGGCGGATTTATCAAAGGAACATTTTCAAAAGGTTGTTACACATACAATAAGATGGCGTTTCAAGGAGAAAAAGTATTTCATTGAGTTATCATTCCCGGTTCTGGGAACGGAATCAAAAACCGGGAATAATCAAAAATTGATCCTGACCAATGGAATATGAGAATTTGGAACTTATCAACCAATCAAATCATAAGTAAAACGTCATTTTTCCATTGACATTTTTGCCTAGTGAATAGTAATAGCAAAATGGCGGATTTATCTTAGCAACATTTTCAAAAGGTTGTTACATATACAGTTAGATGGCGTTTCAAGGAGGAAAAGTATTTCATTGAGTTATTATTCCCGGCTCTTGGAACTGAATCAAAAGCCGAGAATAATCAAAAATTGATTCTAACCTATATGGAATTTGAAAATTTGGAATTTATCAACCAATCAAATCAAGTGAAACGCCATTTTGAGACTCTCCATTGAAATTTGCCTAGTGAATACTAATAGCAAAATGGCGGATTTATCATAGCAACATTTGTAAAAGGTTGTTACATATACAGTTAGATGGCGTTTCAAAGAGAAAAAGTATTTCATTGAGTTATTATTCCCGGCTCTTGGAACTGAATCAAAAGCCGGGAATAATCAAAAATTGATTCTAACCAATATGGAATTTGAAAATTGGGAATTTATCAACCAATCAAATCAACTGAAACGCCATTTTGAGACTCTCCATTGACATTTGCCTAGTGAATACTAATAGCAAAATGGCGGATTTATCATAGCAACATTTGTAAAAGGTTGTTACATATACAGTTAGATGGCGTTACAAAGAGAAAAAGTATTTCATTGAGTTATTATTCCCGGCTCTTGGAACTGAATCAAAAGCCGGGAATATTCAAAAATTGATTCTGACCAATGGAATATGAGAATTTGGAATTTATCAACCAATCAAATCAAATCAAATAAAACGCCATTTTGAGACTCTCCATTTGCCTAGTGAATACTAATAGCAAAATGGCGGATTTATCATAGCAACATTTTCAAAAGGTTATTGCATACACAGTTAAATGGCGTTTCAAGGAGAAAAAGTATTACATTGAGTCAATATTCCCGGCTCTTGGAACTGAATCAAAAGCCGAGAATAATCAAAAATTGATTCTGATCATTGGAATATGAGAATTTGGAACTTATCAACCAATCAAATCAAGTAAAACGCCATTTTGAGACCCTCTATTGACACTTGCCTAGTGAATACTAATAGCAAAATGGCGGATTTATCATAGCAACATTTTCAAAAGGTTATTGCATACACAGTTAAATGGCGTTTCAAGGATAACAAATATTTCATTGATCTATTATTCCCAGCTATCGGAACTGAATCAAAAGCCGGGAATAATCAAAAATTGATTCTGACCAATGAAATATGAGAATTTGGAACTTATCAACCAATTAAACGCCATTTTGAGGCTCTCCATTGACATTTGCCTAGTGAATACTGATAGCAAAATGGCGGATTTATCAGAGCAACAGTTTCAAAAGGTTGTTACACATACAGTTAGATGGCGTTTTCAGGAGGAAAAGTATTTCATTGAGTTATCATTCCCGACTCTTGGAACTGAATCAAACGTCGCGAATAATCAAAAATTGATTCTGACCAATGGAATATGAGAATTTGGAATTGTAACCAATCAAATCAAGTAAAACGCCGTTTTGAGACTCTCCATTGACATTTGCCTGTTGCCTAGTGAATAGTGATAGCAAAATGGCGGATTTATCATAGCAACATTTTTAAAAGGTTGTTACATATACAGTTAGATGGCGTCTCAAGGAGAAAAAGTATTTCATTGAGTTATTAATAATTCCCGGCTCTCGGAACTAAATCAAAAGCCGGGAATAATCAAAAACTGATTCTGACCAATGGAATATGAGAATTTGGAATTGCAACCAATCAAATCAAGTAAAACGCCATTTTGAGACTCCATTGACATTTGCCTAGTGAATACAAATAGCAAAATGGCGGATTTATCATAGCATAATTTTCAAAAGGTTGGTACATATACAGTTAGATGGCGTTTTAAGGAGGAAAAGTATTTCATCGATCGAGTTATTATTCCCGGCTCTTGGAGCTGAATCAAAAACCGGAAATAATTAAAAATTGATTCTGACCAATGAAAGATGAAAATTTGGAACTTATAACCAATCAAATCAAGTAAAACGCCATTTTGAGACTCTCCATTGACATTTTTGCCTAGTGATTACTAATAGCAAAATGGCGGATTTATCATTATAGCAAAATTTTCAAAAAGTTGTTACATATACAGTTAGATGGCGTTTCAAGGAGAAAAAGTATTTCATTGAGTTATTATTCCCGGCTCTTGGAACTGAATTAAAAGCCATGAATAATCAAAAATTGATTCTGACCAATGGAATATGAAAATTTGGAACTTATCAACCAATCAAATTAAGTAAAACGCCATTTTGAGGCTCTCCATTGACATTTGCCTAGTGAATACTGATAGCAAAATGGCGGATTTGTCATAGCAACATTTTTAAAAGGTTGTTACATATACAATTATGTGGCGTTTTAAGGAAGAAATGTATTCTATTGAGTTATTATTCCCGGCTCTTGCAACTGAATCAAAAGCCGGGAATAATCAAAAATTGATTCTGACCAATGGAATATGAGCATTTGGAATTTATCAACCAAACAAATCAAGTAAAACGCCATTTTGAGACTCAGCATTGACATTTGCCTAGTGAAAACTAATAGCAAAATGGCGGATTTATCAAAGCAACATATTCAAAAGATTGTTACAAAAACGCAGTCAGATGGCGTTTCAAGGAGAAAAAGTATTTCATTGAGTTTCTTTTCCCGGCTCTTGGAACTGAAACAAAAACTGGGAATAATCAAAAATTGATTCTGACCAATAGAATATGAGAATTTGGAACTTAACAACCAATCAAATCAAGTAAAACGCCATTTTGAGACTCTCCATTGACATTTGCCTGGTGAATACTAATAGCAAAATGGCGGATTTATCATAGCAACATTTTCAAGAGGTTGTTACATATACAGTCAGATGGCGTTTCAAGGAGAAAAAGTATTTCATTGAGTTATCATTCCTGGCTCTTGGAACGGAATCAAAAGCCGGGAATAATCAAAAATTGATTCTGACCAATGGAATATGAGAACTTGTAACTCATCAACCAACCAAATCAAGTAAAACGCCATTTTGAGACTCTCCATTGACATTTGCCTAGTTAATACTGATAACAAAATGGCGGATTTATCAAAGCAACATATTCAAAAGATTGTTACAAAAACGCAGTCAGATGGCGTTTCAAGGAGAAAAAGTTTTTCATTGAGTTTCTTTTCCCGGCTCTTGGAACTGAAACAAAAACTGGGAATAATCAAAAATTGATTCTGACCAATAGAATATGAGAATTTGGAACTTAACAACCAATCAAATCAAGTAAAACGCCATTTTGAGACTCTCCATTGACATTTGCCTGGTGAATACTAATAGCAAAATGGCGGATTTATCATAGCAACATTTTCAAGAGGTTGTTACATATACAGTCAGATGGCGTTTCAAGGAGAAAAAGTATTTCATTGAGTTATCATTCCTGGCTCTTGGAACGGAATCAAAAGCCGGGAATAATCAAAAATTGATTCTGACCAATGGAATATGAGAACTTGTAACTCATCAACCAACCAAATCAAGTAAAACGCCATTTTGAGACTCTCCATTGACATTTGCCTAGTTAATACTGATAACAAAATGGCGGATTTATCAAAGCAACATATTCAAAAGATTGTTACAAAAACGCAGTCAGATGGCGTTTCAAGGAGAAAAAGTTTTTCATTGAGTTTCTTTTCCCGGCTCTTGGAACTGAAACAAAAACTGGGAATAATCAAAAATTGATTCTGACCAATAGAATATGAGAATTTGGAACTTAACAACCAATCAAATCAAGTAAAACGCCATTTTGAGACTCTCCATTGACATTTGCCTGGTGAATACTAATAGCAAAATGGCGGATTTATCATAGCAACATTTTCAAGAGGTTGTTACATATACAGTCAGATGGCGTTTCAAGGAGAAAAAGTATTTCATTGAGTTATCATTCCTGGCTCTTGGAACGGAATCAAAAGCCGGGAATAATCAAAAATTGATTCTGACCAATGGAATATGAGAACTTGTAACTCATCAACCAACCAAATCAAGTAAAACGCCATTTTGAGACTCTCCATTGACATTTGCCTAGTTAATACTGATAACAAAATGGCGGATTTATCAAAGCAACATATTCAAAAGATTGTTACAAAAACGCAGTCAGATGGCGTTTCAAGGAGAAAAAGTTTTTCATTGAGTTTCTTTTCCCGGCTCTTGGAACTGAAACAAAAACTGGGAATAATCAAAAATTGATTCTGACCAATAGAATATGAGAATTTGGAACTTAACAACCAATCAAATCAAGTAAAACGCCATTTTGAGACTCTCCATTGACATTTGCCTGGTGAATACTAATAGCAAAATGGCGGATTTATCATAGCAACATTTTCAAGAGGTTGTTACATATACAGTCAGATGGCGTTTCAAGGAGAAAAAGTATTTCATTGAGTTATCATTCCTGGCTCTTGGAACGGAATCAAAAGCCGGGAATAATCAAAAATTGATTCTGACCAATGGAATATGAGAACTTGTAACTCATCAACCAACCAAATCAAGTAAAACGCCATTTTGAGACTCTCCATTGACATTTGCCTAGTTAATACTGATAACAAAATGGCGGATTTATCAAAGGAACATTTTCAAAAGGTTGTTACTTATACAGTCAGATGGCGTTTCAAGGAGAAAAAGTATTCCATTGAGTTATTATTCCCGGCTCTTGGAACTGAATTAAAAGCCGGGAATATTCAAAAATTGATTCTGACCAATGTAATATAAGAATTTGGAACTTATCAACCAATCAAATCAAGTAAAACGCCATTTTGAGACTCTCCGCATTGACACTTGCCTAGTGAATACTAATAGCAAAATGGCGGATTTATCATAGCAACATTTTCAAAATGTTGTTACGTATACAGTAAGATGGCGTTTTAAGGAGAAAAAATATACAGTGGCTAAATAAACCTTTACATACAGTGGCGACAATAGAGATCCCGCCGCCATTTTGTTCCCAACCTCTTGTTACTTTGAAATAATAACATATAGGATTTGAATGGATATCATAAAAAATTGAAATCGACGTATTTGATGACTATTATCAGGTCTATCAAATACGTTGTTTTCCATGTTTTATGGTGGATGTTCACCCAAATCCCATATATTATTCAAATTTGAAATAAGCTGGTGGGAACAAGATGGCCGCGTTTTCAATATAAATATATGGGATTTTAGAACCAATCAAAAATAAGACAGCAATTGTCGCCACTGTGGGTAATAGAGTCACTGTAAAAAAATACATTTCATTCACTATTATTCTTGGTTCTAGGAACTAAATCAAAATCCAGGAATAATCAAAAATTGATTCTGACCAATGGAATATGAAAATTTGGAATTTATCAACCAATCAAATCAAGTAAAAAGCCATTTGGAGGCTCTCCATTGACATTTGCCTAGTGAATACTAATAGTAAAATGGCAGATTTATCATAGCAACATTGTCTGGTAATGGATAACTTGATGACGTATCTGGGGTGCCTTATGGAGATTTGCATTATATTGAGGCACTCCAGATGACGTCAGAAAGTTATCAGGCAACCACAGTTACAATCTAAACAAGAATAAGTTTCTATGCTAGTCGATGAAAATCGCTTTTAATTCAAAGTATTTTGCATCATGATTGTCACTTACCTTTTTGTTATGACATTTGGATAAGGCACTGGCAGTGTCGTCATTTTTGCATTCCACAAATCTCACATTCTGAGTGGTAAGTGATTCGGTTTTCAGAGCAATCGTTGCTTCTAGGTAGGTTTCGTCGTCATCCAGACAGAAAGCTTCACAGGCGAGCTGAAACATTAGGGACTTGGTTATAATGGCCAATGGAGGATTAGATAAGCCAATGTTGTTTTAAATAGGTCTGTTCAAAACAGATAGGAGCACTTTGAAGAGACAGAGTTTATCAAAACAATTCATTTAAACGCCTTGATATCCTTGCATATGATTGGCTGCATAATTTCAGGAAGAATTAGCTCCAAATACAAAAATGTTCAGGTTGAAGCACAGACAGGACTAGGCTACTAGACACATAGGCTTCAATGGGGGCAGTTGACTAATGCCCATTTATATACACATATTATCAAAATGCGTGCATCTTTGGCAACTCGGCTATACTCGATTCACTTACATCGTAATTTGGCTTGATCTGTACAAAATATACAAAACTGTATGATTATTCAAAAACTGTACATATGATTTCGCGTGACCTTGCCTGGAATCTACCGTTCCCAGCAGAGTTTCGACCGGTATCAGCTAATTTGCATATTTCCGTGTATACCCCGCCGCGTCTCTGGCCCATCTTTTCGACTATAAATTGGGTAAAAATTGCTGGTAAAAGACAGTCTTCAACCGGTCTCCGAAAAGTCAGCCGACCTGACAGCAGTGATACCAGCATTACCACCAGAACCGTCCGAGATAAGCCAACCCGGCGTAACCACAGTAGGGCTCAGTTCTTGCAGGGTCGCGAATTACACTAGAAGGTAAAAATTAATTATATAAGCTTCACTAAGATTTTCGCCCGGTATCTTGGACTGGTAAATCTTTTCCTGTAATAGGGGTTGCGCTCGGTACCTTGGACGGGTAGTCTCTATTGCTCTTAGAACTTCGCCCGGTACTATGGACGGGTAGTTCTGTATGAGAGATTTTCGCCTGGAACTTAGGACAGGGGTATTTCTCTCCGAAGCTTATATGGTATCTTTAATCCGTTAAATGCACCATTCGAGAACTGACGGTAATGTAGTTTCAGGTGGTGTTTGTACATTTGCTTGGGTCACCGGAATTTGATTTACCGCTTTATTGCTATTTAACATTTTGCCGTTAGCGTTAACGTTATCGGAACCTTTAGAGCTACCGGAAGGCTGACCGTTCCGTTATCGCTACCGTTAACTTATCTGGACACGCCTTCCACCGCCCGCATCGTCACGTTTTTACCGCACGCACATAATTTTTCCCTCATTTAATTATCTCTCTCACGCATCCCCGTTCATTCTTTCACAGGGTTAATTAAGGGTTTTTCCTGTAAATATTTTCCGGTAATACAGTGTTATATTTATTTAAATTTATTGACTCTTTATTTATTTTCCCCAAACCAAGGTTTTCAGAAAATTTCACAGAACAAGCGTCTGTGACTCCTGGATTACCGTTTCTCCACTGTAACAATCTGCCTGGTGCACGTGGGCCCTCAACCACTTTAATCCTGAGGGTGGCGCCCGAGGCAAACTGTTAGATAAACCGATTTACACTAAACCCGCGTCGATTACGCGACTAAAGCGCCTTACAATAGGAAACTGTATGATCATTCAAAAACTGTACACAGGCTTGAATTCATACTAACATGAAAATGTTGAGGGGGGTAGTCAGAAACAGGAAAATACCATTGGCGTACACTCGATCGACTAATGATGAACCTTGTTCATCTACTTGAGCGAATAAAATCAAATAAAACTGGAATTAGTGGGTTGACGCTGAAAAATACTTTGAGCCATCTCAGCAATTTGAATAAACATACAAAACAAATTGGAAGTTGATATATGAAACTCACAACCAATGAGCAAAGTTCAGTTCCTACATAAAATATAAACTTACCTTAAAAACTTGTGGCGCCCATTTCATAAAAGCCTGTTCCTGTCCGCACATTTCGTCTCCGTTGGCCAACTTGAGCAATCTCTCTCCACCCAAATCACCTAACAACTTGTCCACGTATTTACCGAACGCACAGAAATTCGGATAGGCGCTCGATCCTAAGGCGAAAACTGCAAACCTATATAAAAAGAAGAATTAAAAAAAAAAAAAACACACACACACACACAAAACTGATGGCCCAGGTGCGAAAGCCTTCAACATGCAAAATTATTGTTTCCGCATACTATGGATGGAATTCTTGTATTGTCGGGATTGCCGGGACGTGGATTCTATTTTCGAATGCCAAATAAATCCCAGAGAATTTACGACCCTATATACAAATGCTGGATACGAAATTTTGTCATGCACTTACCAACTTAACTAAATAAAATTGGTGCAAATAATAATATTTGGTGTGCAAAAAACAAGTTACCAATCCATACCTTACGTTGCTCAACGGTCCAAAAGTATCTTCCAAAAGTGGTTCGCTGATTGACGATGAACCACCTCGTAACGAATAGAGTCGATCGAGTTTACGACTCGCCGAAGCCAATTCGCTTTGGCTGTTAGCTTTGATGAATGATTTCGATGTTGCCATGCTGGGGTAAATTGTTTTAAGGGTGTTAGTTTGGATCCCAAAAGCTGAGATTTATAAACTTGAGGTTGTGTGTTTCAATGTTAAAACTCGAATTTATAAATCCTAATTTCTTACTTATATAAATAAATTATGTTCCTTCTTTTAAAAGCGTTTCCAAAAGCTTTTGCCAATTAATTCCCATGAATAATTAAACAAGTCTTAATTTTACCTGAGTCTTTCTGGATCTCCATTGGAAATGCCGTTTTCGCTGATTTTAAGAAGCGTGTGAAGATTGTTAGCAAACTCCTGTCCGTTTTCAGGTGGATCGCCATTACCGAATGTTGACGTCACTACAAGAAGCAAAGCTTCGTGTTCTATACTGGAAATGTCGTAATCGTCCATGCAGTAGACTTGGGCGTTGAAGGCGTGCCCCAATATTTCGCCCAATTTTTTGGCGAAGCCTTCGGATTTACCTGTTTCGGTTGCATACAGAACTGTAGCTTTAATTCTACGGGATAAAGCTCGGCCGAACAATTTTGAGGTGAATTTTACAGCTCTAGAAACGAGAAAAATGTTTCCCACATTAAACACAATGTTCAATTTCCAAATCTCATTGATGTATTTTATATTTTAAAGGTTTTATTATACGATTCAAAACAAATCAGAAGTAAAGGTAAATACCAAAGAGAATTTATTAAAGAGGGTGTCTCACCTGGCAATTTGTTTGAAATGGAATTTCCTCCTCGGTTTCTTGCTTTTAGCCGAATCGCGCCCCTTCTTCCAGACATGGCATTTCCAGGCGGGCTCCTGCAAAGAAAATTCTCTAGAATAATTTATGCGATGTAATAATAATATTAATAAATAAGTTAAATGAAGCAGGAGCTTTTGTAGACCATTTACTTAACCTTCGTTATAAATATATTAAGTTAAGTACTATTACTCTACACTTTGTGTATTGAAATCTTTGTTTGCCTGTTTTGTATCATTTGATTTCTTCTCTTTGTACTTGAATGCGTTTTTTTTTTAATTTTCCTTATCAAGATTATAAGTTCCATTACTATAAATTCTTGTATAGTTTTCTTTCAATTGGAACTGAAGTTAACTGGCCTCAACATCTGCCTAAATAAGTAAGAGGAACCATCCTCTGGGTACCACTTTGGAAGCCCATTGGTTATCCCGTAGTACCGGACTTGAGATTCGACAAAATCCAAGTTCTCCAACCCTCCTAGCTTTTAGAGATTCGCTGAAAGTACCCTCCGGGTCGTCGGTCCCATTGGTTCTCAAGTTTATTCAACCTTCCCTATTCAAACTGCTTCACCCTGTGATCCAGTTTGATGGCTGTCCAACAGAGTTCGCTAGTTACATGTGGTCAAATTATTAACTGAGCAATGTTTTCCCTTTTAATTGAAAACCTTTCCCTTTTCTAATTACTTATACTTTCTATTCTTATTTCCTAATTTCTAACCTGATTATTAAGGGTGTGAAATGAATTAAACTATCCTCTATTAATTTATTTATAAAATAACTGAGTAATCACTCCTATCTTAACCTACTTATATCTTGATTATAACTAAGTATTCGACTATCTTACAGTTAACATTTCACCAAAATAATAACCCTTGATAATTATATTGTTATACAATTTGTTATTGTACCTTAAAAATCTAGCTGATGTTATCATTATTTCGCTCCACACACACATGCTTCGAATATAATTCTTTCCAGCAACGGTATCAGTTACCTGACATCTGGGTTCGTCATAAAACATGGACATTCAGAAGATTATCCTTGACTTTGAATAAATTATTACAACCACATAGGATCTACTGCCATCTACAGATTAGTCTAAAGTTTAATGTTTATCTGGGAAAACATAAATGTTGCCTATATATTTGTCAATTTCGGGTTACAGCAAAATAATCTTGAAACTATAAAATTCGATAGTTTTTTTTATTTTCAAGTGATTTTTACCCTCGAACAGATTAGGTTGTTCGCAGAACTCCATGGTTTTTGTAAATCCCATTAGAGTCACATTTTAACTATCTATCTATAAAAATAAAACTTTTCCCACGAAAGATTGGGTTGAACCGAGATTATGAATTTGCTATCTATTTTGTTACACTTTGCTTTTTTGATCTTCAGTTTTCTTCTGTTCTATTGTACCATCTTGTCGTGATGTGCTATTTTGTTCTGATAAGCTCAGTATGGTACAATTTCAACAGCGTTTCAACGCAAATTTTATTACTGGAACGAGGTTTTTCCTCCACAGAATCAAGGCTCAACAAGAGGCAGTTATATTAATCAAAATTTTATCAATTATCGGCTCTTCATAATAAGGTGGACAATGTTAATAATTCTATCGGCTTTTGATTAGCTGAAAATCAAGACTCAAAAGCCAATGAAAATCAAAGTTATATAATAATTTCATTGTCTTTTAATCAGCTGGACTATTCTACTGGCAATCAAGAGCCGATAATAAATCAAATTTTCAACTTTTATTGGCTTTTGATTGCCTCTTGAATAATTCTCCAGAAAATCAAGACTCAATAGCCAATAATAATCGAAGTTTTAATATCAGCTGGACAATTTTACAGCCAAGAAGATAAGAAAATTACATGGTCCTTCGGCCTTCCTTGAACTAAAGTGGAAGAAGTAACAGTCCTTTTAAAAATTGAAATTTGACAAGCTTAAAGAATGGATGGAAAAAGCCAATATTCTTCATCAAGTAAGTCTTTTCATAAATTTGATTTACGGCGAAAAATTAGATCAAAATAGTGAGACGCTGGCAAATGTAAGGGTTTAAAAGCTTAAGTCTCGAAGTTCTACTAAATCAAAACGTGAAATTGAGATGAGAAAATTACTCATTGGCCAAGAAAAGCAAAAACTTGAACTTCTGACTACAAGTACAAAAACAAGAAATGTTGAAATAAAAATGACAGCATTAGAGCTTGATGTGAAACAGAATATTATGTTGGAAGATATAAGTTGTTATTCTTGTTGTGAGGAAAACCAGGAGGATAAAAAATTTAAAGAAAAATCCGTAAAGAAATGGGTTGAAAATTTAAATCCATAGTTTGACAGAGACGAAAAAATTGAAGAACACATCTTAGCATGCAAAATGAGTCTAATGGCGTTTCCGATTGGTAGATCTAGTGTGGAACTAGTGCAATTTTTTCTATTTCTCTCTTTTTCTTCTACGGGTGGATTTAAAGGATGCAAATACACTCAGTGCGTACTAAATCTACCAATCGGAAACGCCATAAGAATGAAAATGACTTAAGTAAATTATGTTCAGCTATCCAAAACGCAATTAAAAATGCAGCAAATACAAAAATAATGATTGTGAAGCTACCTTGATTAGTAGGCAAATTTTAGATAAAGATTCACCCTACTTTGACGGAAATCCAGAAAACTGGCAGTTAATTGTTTATTAGTCAATATAACAGAGAAATTGAATTATGAAACTATACTCATGATGAAAAAATGGTGAAATTAGAATGGTGTCTAAGAGGAGGAGCATTGGATTTCCAATGTTCCTAAAATGTTAAGTTGATGATGAACCAAACCCTGGAAATGAGATTTGAAAGACCAGAACATGAGAGGCCTTGACAAATAAACTGCAAGAATTTGCAGGAGTAAGGGAAGGAGATTTTGACAATTTAATCAAATTTTCATGCCAAATAAGTAATTTTGTTGCAACTTTGGAGCAACTTAAAGCTAAAAATCATATGAATAATCCGTTTATCCTGAAACAATTACTATAATAAGATTCCAGTTAATTTAAGGTTGCAATGGGAATAAATAGTTAAAGATAAAGGAAAAAATGGAGTAACCAAAGAAGACTTTGCAAAATGGTGCAGTAATATCGCTTCAGCTGCATTTTGTATACATAATCCAAAAATTAAGACCAAGAAAGTACCCGCTGAAACATGAAAATGTTATGTATGTGACACAACTAAATGTTATTATTGTAAAAAAGCATATCACGAAGTATCCAAATGTGCTTAAGTATACTCAATGATAATGTAGACGATCGATGGAAAAACATTGTGGAAGCAAAAGCATGTTTTTGTTGGCCTGAAAAACAACCACAGAAAAAATGAATGCAAATTGAAGAAGCAATGCACTACTAATGGTTGTAAGAAGAGGCATCATTATTTGCCACATAAAGAATATACAAGAACAATCAACCCACCATTGACACCTGAACAAAATTTCTCTAAGAAAGAACCGAGGTTAGAGGTAAGTAACAGTCAGCATTTGATAGATTGATACCATCAATTCAAATTAAGTACTACTGAGAATAGTGAAAGGTCATAATTATGTGACAATAATGAAGTATTTGAAGTCTATGCTTTACTAGACGAGGGGATAGGGCATAGAGGTACTGAAACTCCATTCTGTATGAAATTGACTAATGGATTAGTGTTAAATAATAAAGAATCTGAAATGTTTGACAAAAATGTCTGGTATCTATCCATGAGAATGCGAAAATTATGAACCTCAAGAGTCTACGAACAATGAAAGAACTGAATTTACCCATCACAAACAATAATACTAGAAAATTTGAAAGATAACTACTTGCAGAGGCTACCAATTTTTGACATGATAAATGCAAAACCAACTCTTTTAAAGACAATGTACATTTGACTGTGGCACGAAAAATTTACCAGGGCCCTAGTAATAGACCAATTGCCATCAAAACTCATTTGGGATGGCTCATTCATGTTAATGATAATACAAAAAAATCTCACACATGGATTAGTTTCACATATTTGTAATCACGAGTATCAAGATTGTGTTAAAGACTGAAAATTTTGGAGTTACTCTGACAGAAACGAGAGTATTGAGTATTTTGGAAAAAACCACTGTAAAATTAGACACTGAAAATCGCTATGGAACTGGCGTATTATGGAAAAGAGAAAACATTGTTTTGCCTAAATCAAGGCAACAAGCTATAAACCGACTTCTTTGTGTTGAGAGAAAAATGTCAAGAGATCCAATATACCATGAAAAATACCTAAAGAGACTGCATTAAGACCCCAGAACTTGGTATTTTCCTCACTTTGGATTCATCAGCTTCAATAAGCCAGATAAATTTAGAATAGTATTTGACGCCTCTGCTAGATCAAACGGTACGAGCCTCAACGAGAACTTGCTCAAAAGGTCCTGATTTTTTAACTTCACTTCCCGGAGTTCTAATGTGTTTTAAATTTGTGTTTTGTGGTGACATTGCCGAGATATTCCATCTATAACGTACTTATTTGACAATTGCCTAATTATACTGCGTACGGCTAGTCAGCATCAATTCGGAGGCCATGGGTTTATGGATTCCTTGTATACATCTTACCTTTGGTCGCCACCAAGTTAATTGTGACTTAACTAGGAAGAATACTCAATGATGTCATGAACAAAACCTGTGCAATTGGAGAACTTAGCAATAAAACAACTAATTAGGTACAATATAAAAAAAAAATATGGATGTCAACCTTACGGTAAAATTCTAGAATTTTAATTAAGGGGCACGTACTGACGTAATTCAGTGTCAGGTGATTTATATGAGATTTACCTAAATAGTAAAAAGTGCAACTCACATGTATACAAGTGTTAGTTATCTTCAAATGTATGTGTAAACTCAAAAAAGTTCCTAAAGTGAGGTTATCTACATGTTTGGTCTCACTGTAGATAGACTATGGTATGGTAAGTGAGTCCTATAGGAGTCCTATCCACGTTTTATCTGTTTAACAGTTTAACGTAGAACTCAACGTGGTTCTATCAGAGTGGTACCAAAAGGGTTGCTGAGGGGAAGCTACCAAAGCTCCAACTAACAATCTAGACCCAGCCTAGAATCTCCCTAGATACAACCTAGGATCTTCTAAATACAGCCTAAGACCTTCTAATTGCAGCCTAGGATCTTCTAACTGAGGGATGCTCTAGGCCAAAAGTGAAGTCTTAAACTTCCAAAAGCTGCTTGGAACAATCCGAAACAAAATCCAAAATGACCAATAAGGGACAACTCTAGAAAATGATCAACAAGAAATTAGTCTAAAACTTGAATTCCCTGGCACAAAATTCCAAAAAGTCTTGCCCAAAAATAATTAGGGCCAAGACCGACCTCACAGTATCAGGTCTCAAGATCCAAAGGGGAGATTCTTCCTTTTAGATTTGGAAAGAGGGCTTCCATTTGTCAAACTTCTAATGGGATAATAGGAATGCAAAGTAGAATAGACGAGTCAGTAAAGGCACCAACCACCAACCGATCATAATAATAAGAAACTTTGGATTCTAAAAGGACTGCTAAAGGAAACATTTTTGCCAGTTATGTAAAGTGAAAAATTCGAAACCAGTAGTACCAAAGATGGCGCAGCTATAGATTCAAATGTAAAACTTTTTACTCACATTGGTATTGATTATTTTGGGCTGTTGTATGTTACCGTGAGACGACATAAGGAATAACGATGGGAAGTCATCTTCACCTGTATGACGATAAGAGCTGTACACCTCGAATTTGCACAATAATGGCGATTAGACGAATGATGGTAAACAAATTTTAGAGCAGCGACTGAAGAAATTAACGTGTTTAGGAAACAAGCTATGAAAAATGATAATATAAAACAAGACCTTACGACTCGTCAGATTCAGTGGCATTTTTATCCTCCAGGTACACCTTATATAGGTGGTGCATGGGAGCGTCTTATTGGATCTGTAAAAAGAGTGCTAAAAAAATGTATTAAAAGAAGAAGCTTCGAAAAACGAAGTACCTACTACTGACTTTAATGATAGAAGCTGAAAATATTGTGAACCGATTACCCCTGAAAGTTTGACACCAAACCATTTTCTAATTGGTTCAGTTTTGAACCCCCAAGTAAAGTAAGAGAATGGTAATTTCGAATCATTATGAAAGAAATCACAACAGCTAACAGATTTATTTTGGACAAACTGGATTAAAGATTATCCACCAAACTTGACGAAACGTGGAAAGTGGACTAAAGACTCCAAACTTGTCCTGGTATTGGAGATTTAGTCTTTATTATTGACCAAAATCTACCCAGAAATTCTTGGCTTGGAAGGGTAAAAAATAAGTCTTAGTTTTTTTTTTGAAGATGGGGAGAATATTGAATCCTTTTTCGCTTAATTATTCCAAGTTTGTATAGCTATACCTATATATTTTATTTTACAGGTTCAAAAAAAATTGTATTGTCAGTATGGATTGACGTTTCAAGAAGAATGAAAAGTTAAAAAGGTCCCATCAGATATAAAAGGAAGTTTTCTATTAGATACTGAAATAAAGAAGATGAGAAAATTACACTATTATTGGCTCTTGATTACTTTCAGAATGATAATAATTGTCCAAAGGAATCATTATAAATATGCGTCCTATTTCGGACCTCCATAGGTTTTCCAACAATTCTCTTGTTAAAGTTTAATCAGCCCCAAATAATGGTTCGATCGTCTATCACTATAGCGCACATTCTAGCAATCAACAATAATTATTCTTGCAATAATTACACATCAACGAGCAGATCACACGTTAATTGAAAGGATTTTTCTGAATTCATATAGTAATTTTTCAAAATTCGAAATCAATCAGCGATAAAACCCGCAAAACGCCAACTTGAAAATCCGATTAACGTAATTTAGGCATCGCATATTGAGCCTTTATTAAAACGGTAATTGAGGCGAGCTTATGATGACACAAAACATTTTGTCGAATTATTGAACGCAAATTGTCCAAGCTAAACCAATTATCTATACTGGTTGAACAATGTTTTACCTTTCGAATTTGAAATAATAACCTAAGCCTATAAGTTATTGAGTTATATTATTGTATTGTTTGTTTTTTCTGGGGAATTTAATTTAACCTTATTAATATTTCAGTGAAACCATAATTCGATGACACAGGTAAAACAAAATTCATATTCACTAACAAATACAGATTGTATTTTAAATCCAATCAAAATATTAAATTTCGAATTCTGGCACAATGCATCACAAATTACATCGCCAATATTAATTTGATTATAAATCCACGCAATAGTTGATTGGGTAAATTTAAAGTAGTAAATGTATTTTCAATACCTGATATTCGTATGACGGTTTCAAATAATACAAAGCCATTTCCTGGTGGAAAACTGGAGTAGCAGATCCGGATAAAGGTGGCACGATCCAGACCCAATCGGCCGGACAACCGTTTCTGAGTCGGACTTCGTTTTCCAGATGTTTCATGAAAGATTCAGAGGCGGTGTGATGGTCTACAATTGTGACGCCTTTTTCCTGGAAACTGTGAAGAACCGCCACGTTGCATTCGATCATCGCTTTGTCTTTCCAGAGAGTGACTGGTGTACGGGTGTCCAGGCCCATGTTTAGAGCGATTGTCTGGAAAATATATTATCTTGATTTCCTTCTGCGAATTATAAGCCGATAGGAATCAAAATTTTGACTATTATCGGCTCTTGATAGGTTGGATAGTTTTTCGAGAGGCCGATAGAAATCCAGGCTCTTGATTTTAACTTACGAATCAAGAGCCGATAATAATCAAATTTTCAATATTATTATGACCCAAACTTGGAAGATCATCGGTTCTTAATTCCCATCGTCAAAATATATAGCAAATCAAAAGCAGATAATAACTAAAGATTGAACAATTAGGTAGGTGCCTTCTTGCTGAAACGAAGAAATTTCAATTCTTTTTTGTCGGGATTTTGTATCCTAATGGTCAATCAACATGCCCCAAACTCTATACACTGAATTATTCTCAGATTTGAAGCCGAAATCTATGAAAAAAGGCACTCAGAAAAATTGAAAAATTGATAAACCACCCCAAATTGCTTAACACGATTTTATCTCAGGAACTATAAGTGCAAATGAGCTGAAATTTCTAGGGATTGTAGTCGCTTGATTGGGATAAAATTCAGTGAAAGTTTCAGCTTTCTATCCATAATAGAAAAGAATGTAAGACCTTTCAAAGTTTTTCAAAATCTAAATCATAAGGTAGGTAGGTACCGGCTCTTTGTTCCCATCATCAAATTATCTAACGAATCAAGAGCCGATAATAATCAATATTTGGACTATTACCGGCTCTTGATAGGTTTTTCGAGAGGCCGATAGAAATCAGGCTCTTGATTTCCTTAAGGGGAAATTAACCAACGAATCAAGAGCCGATAATAATCAAATTTTCAATATCATTGGTTCCTGATTCGCTTGAAAGTTTCCAAAGAGGCCAATATAGAATTCAGGCTTTTGATTTTCTTCAGAGAAATTATCTAAGAAATCGAGGAATCAAGTGATAGCTTTTCAAGAAGTTTTGATTTTTTTCAAAAAAAAATCCACAGATTTGAGAACCACTAATGACTCAAATTTGGACGATCATCGGTTCTTGATTCCCATCGTCAAAATATATAGCAAATCAAGAGCAGATAATAATCAAAGATTGAACGATTACCAGCTCTTGATTCCTATCATCAAATTATCCAATGAATCAAGAGCCGATAATAATCAAAATTTTGACTACTGGCAGTTTATTTTCTCCTTTTATTCCTCTCTGATCTTCAACACTGTCGAAAACAATCTATTTGCTTAAATGATTTCAAACAACAAAGCCCCGATTCTGAAAATTCTCTCTGTCGTTTTGATCTTTTGCATTTTCCAGGAACAAGACGACAGAACAATCTCTTTTGCTCCGCTTATTTTTACATTTCCACGATTAAAATTGCATAATCTAAATTGACAGTGCCTGAAATGAATTGTAATTATTTCGTTTGTATATGCCAAAGCAATTTTCAAAGGCTTATTTTCGATACCTACTTTGCCAATTACATTGAAAATTAATTTTGTTAGAGCTTCCTGTTATGCTTAATAACGTTGTGACTTTATCCTTTGAAAAACATTAATTAACAGCTGAATAATGCATTTCAAAGCCAATTTACCTCTAACATATTTAAACGATGAGTATCGCATAGGTTTCTGCAACCGATTTCGGTACTCATGTACCATCCATTGAACGGAGTAGCTGGAAATTGAATACCACCACAATCGAACATCATACTGGAAACTGCTGGTAATGCGTACCAACGAAGTCCGAGAGTTTCAAACCATTTCAAACTGAAAATAAATTCCTAATGAGTATATCGAAACAACAAAAGGTTTTTTTTTAGATTGTAAAACACCCACTTTCATATACTTTTTCACCCCCCAACCAATGTTTTACACACAGTACAGAAATCCCTCAATGATTTCCCTTGGGATTATATGGTCAGCTTTACTGAAACTTTATTTTTGAGCTTTTGCTTTTGTGACGTTTCCTATTATGTTTTAGTTTTAAAATAACACATCGTACTTACGTCGGATGACTCAATGGTATTTCCAAAACGAATTCCTTCGGAATGTCGAAATAATCCGGATCGTGTCCGTTGGCCGAGACTAGGATCGGTAAAATGTCCCATCTTGTGCCTTTGCCTTTCCAGCCTAGTTTTTGACAGATTTCGGTGAATTCTACATTCATTGGGTCGCCTGGAGTTATCAAAATTAATAGAAGAATTATACGAATAACTTAAACTAACCCAAAATTGATCCATCGGGTTGTCGATAACCTGCGTAGCTGATTAATTGAGGATTCCACACTCTGAAGTCGTGTTTACCGTCGGTGCGTTGAGGAAATACTGTTATTGCGGATCTAGAGAAAATTAAAAATAATTGTAATAAAGAATTTTAATAATCTTGAAAAAAACTGGGAAGGAGCAAGTCGGAATAAGAAGTTGAGAAAATTAAGTAGTAGTAGTAGTAGTAGCTATGTATTGCACTTCGACATCATTTTCCATAGTTGTTTGTCGGATGTAGTGATAATGAACGTCAATGTGTTTACTTCCATATAATTTGTTCCAATATAAATTGCATCTTGGTTATCACATAACAACATTGGTTTAGAATCATTGTTTGTCAGTTCAAAAATCAACTGCTTCATCCACATGCTTTCTTTAAAAGCCAATGACATTGCCATGTATTCTGATTCAGTAGTGTATAACTGCGACGCTTTGCAGCCTTTTTGCATTATTATAAAGTTCACATCCACCACTGGCACAGTCTCCTCTATATGATGCATCACTGTAAATATGAATTTAAGGTGTTTTTGTGAAGTTGTAGGTTAAGCTTTTACTTATGGAACCTTTAAGGTATTTTGAGATCTGTTGAAGCATTTTCCTTTTAGTTTCTATATTGGGCTAATTTGAAACTGTGATAACTTGTTCACTGTATAAGCTGTTAGATCTTGTTCCTATGGTAAGAAATAAAAGACTTCCAATCTTTGGCTGATATAGCTTCTCTGTCTGCTCTTTTATCTTCCTCTCTTGCCTTTAGAACATTGAAACAGAGGCCGTCTTACAGTTCATCGTTCATATTTATGCGAAACTTTTTCTAATTTAAGTATCTTTCTTGATTTAAGGACACAGATGAAGGATTCTATAAAATTTGCAGCGATAAAAAAAAAATTTGGTTTACCTAGGTAAGTGATATCAAAATTCTTGGATAAAATATCTTCCACTTGTTGAATATCTTTCTCAATATTGCCTAGTATACATAAATCATCCAGATAGCCTGCAACTATGTGTCTTCCATCTTGTGACAGAAACTTACATGGATCAGATATGGATTGTTTCAGGTTTGTTTTTTTCAAAACACGGACCAATTTATGATTCCATAATCCGGGAGACTGTTTTAAACCATATACTTTTCTTCAAATAACAAAATCTCCCTGGCTCAATGTCAACCCCTTCTGAGATTTTCATATAAATTTCAACATCTGCCTTAGAAACCGTTAGTGATGTTAAAATAGATTTTGTTAAGGACAGACTGCTAAATGAAGAGTTTGAGCTAGGATCTAGACTTCCAAAGCACATGGAGGCAATAGCGAAGTCAGTTTTAAAGCATGTTTTGTTTGTGATAGCAAATTCCATTAAAGCAGTGTCCTAAAAGAAATGATGGATTTTAGAATAATTGAGGAGCAATCTCAGGAAATCAAAATAGAGGATATTTTAGAGGAAATTATTCTAGATGTCGAGAACGAGGTTCTAGATCTAATCTAGGACAAAACAGACAACAAGCAAATAGTGCTGATCAGCATCAAGTTGTTTTTTTCGCTACTAATGTCTGTGACACAGATGTAAATATTGGCTCTACTAGCTTTATATTGGACTCGGGAGCTAGTAATCATTTTGTGGAAGAAAATCTGGATACGTGGAACCTTATATGACAAATGTCAAGACATTGAACAATTGCATATCTATTCACATAGCAATTGGTAAAATTTTAAAGTCAGAATTCAGAGCTTCAAGGATGCCTCCATAGGACATTGTTGCCGATATTTTAAATGGAGAAGCAAGGCTTGAAAGTTGATGAGGTTAACCAAATAAAGGTTGTTGGATGTTGTTTCCAACAAAGATGAATACTTAGATACAAATAATCAAATTGCAATCGACACTCATCAGGTTTTTAAATTAAAATAAGATAGTACTAAATTGATTAAAGACTTGCTTAGAGAATTTAATACTAGAATCAGTAAAGAAGTTTCAACACGCCTAGGAATGGTACTAACCAGAATGATTGTGCAAAAAATTTGGTTAAGAAGAATGTCGAACAATGACTACACCAATGGAGGTAAATTTTAACTCGGATAAAGATTCAATCAGACCAGATAGATTGGTATGCAGTCTGATGTATATTTCATCAGTATTTAGACCAGATACCTATAGCATTTATAGTATCAGTAGATACTTGGAAAAGGCAACAAGTCAAGACTGGATTGCAGCAAAACGAGACTTGGAAACTTCAAATCAGCTAATCTCCTTGGATTATGAATTACACCAAGGGAAATATGGAGAACTTGTGGGAATGTCAGATGCCGATTTGGGAAGAAGACCCAGAAAGAGTGTCAGCGGATTTTTATGTTTTCATGCTGGAAATTTTATCTAAAAAGCGAAATTGTGTTGCTTTGTCAACTATGGAAGCTGAATATATGTATAGCAGCAGCTTCTGCAGCACAAGAGTCTATAAATGCTAATGGCATGTTATCAGAATTTAATAGGTAAATGGAAGAAAGTGTTGAGCTGAAAGTAGACAATATGAGTGCAATTTCAATGATAAAGACGTTCAAGAATTCAAAAAGAGGTAAACATATCAAAATACATTTTCATTTTATCAACGATTTATAATATGCTTTGTGTTGAAAATATCTTAAATGAGATATCTCCGGTTTTATTCCGAAAAATTACGAGATATTTTTCGGAATTTTTATGAGAATTTCATACATCTGTCAAAACTGGTATTCCAACAATGAATTGACATGTTTTGATTGTTGATTTGAACCAATCAGATTGCAATTATCTGATAATTTGCACTAGTGCAAATTATCAGATAATTGCATACTAACAGGGGGGGTTTATTTGAAACGTGCAATTTAAATACGTCTGACTAAGTCGCAATTTTTGCCGGTATTTCAATGCTAAAAAATGCGACTTAGTCAGACGAATTTGAATTGCACGTTTCAAATAAACCCCCCCTGGTGCGAAAGCTGGCGTTTTGACATTTTTTGACAAAAAATTCAAATTTTTGATTTATGAAATTCTCTCATTAAATACAACTCGTGCAATGGAAATATATTTATAATTTTCGACAAATTTGCACTCATGCGTTTTTAACTGAAAAAGGCACTCGTGCTCTTTTTCAACTAAAAATGCATTCGAGCAAATTTCCCAAAAATTATCAATAATTTCCATTGCACTAGTTATATTACTATTGGTTTACCTGGGTAAGTGATCTCAAAATTCTTGGATAAAATATCTTCCACTTGTTGAACATCTTTCTCAGTTTTGCCTAGTATATAGGTACAGGGTGTTTCCTTATATTTTGACCCCTACCTACAGCTTTAGCTATAGGAGGTGGAAAAAAACCTTAAATGTGAAAGTTGTAGGTAATCTGTGGTTGTAGGGTTTTATGTCTATTATCTTTTGCAAATGTCAAAATGGGCAAATGACGGGTGCCAACTGTCACAATGACAAACACTTACATTTTTCAAATCGAACACCCTGTATATTTTTGACTGGAATGATAGATTTCTTTCTTCTGATTCCAATTATACCATATATGTCAATATTTGGTTCAGCTGTTTTTACGCTATTCAAGTTTAAAAATGCATTTACATTACCCTTAATTTAATCTTTCCTGGTTTCACCTATCAATGATGAGGCTTGCTCAATGCAATTTTAAAATTAAATAGCGCAAAAACAACTGAACCAAATATCAACGTATATGGTATATTTTTTTTTTTTTTTTTTTTTTACGGATATGCGCACTCGCAAGGAAATGTCCTATCACGCTCGAGAAGCGGCAAGTGCGCGGAAATGTCGGTGTATGTTGGTCTTGAAACGGTTCAGGTTGTAACCTGCAGGGAAAACCGTCGCAGGGAGTTTATTCCACAGCGATGCTGTTCTCCAGAGATATGAATTCTGATATAATGAGGTTCTTGGTGCCTCTAGTTTGACAGTAAATTCATGGTTACCGTCTGTTTGACGGGTTCGCCTGGTAGGCGCTACTCTCGGTGGAATCATAGGTGCCAACTCTTCAGAGCATTTTCCGTGATAGTACCTGTAGAAGAGAGATAAATCGCCCACAGATCTGCGATGTTCGAGACCATCCAAGTTACGAGTAAGTGCGGGGTCATTGATCAGCTTGATAGCTCGTTTTTGCACGGTGTTCAAAAGCATCAAGGTATATTTGGGTGCTGCACTCCATATATGTGAGCAGTACTCCATAGTTGGTCGAATCTGGGCTTTGTAGAGTGTCAGCAATTGGCTTGGTGTGTACAGATGTCTTGTACGAAATAGCACCCCCAGCTTTTGGGACGCCCTTTTAGCAATATCTGCCACGTGACTGTGCCAAGACGTGTTGGTCTCTGCAGTAACCCCCAAAATGTTCAACTGACTCTGTAATGTGACAGCACATCCAGATAGCATGATGTTTGGCTCACCGGTGCTGGTCTTTTTTGAAAACAGAGCTGCTTGGGTTTTCTGCGCGTTGAACTGTACAAGGTTTTTGTTACCCCTCTCCAGGTCGTTATTTATCTGCGATATTTGAGTTAGTCTAAGATGATGGAATTCACGTGCGGAAAGACCTGTGGGTGGTATGAGTGAGGAGACTACATTGCCATCGTCTGCAAAGCAATAAAGTGGATATACTGTTTTATCTATGAGGTCATTTATGTAAATCAGAAAAAGAGTTGGCGAAAGGATTGCTCCCTGTGGCACACAAGCATTTATTTGGTAAGAGTTGGAGTTCTGGCCATCCAGTGCAACATAAATGGATCTGTCCTTTAGGTAACTTTCAAACCAAGTGCAAAGTTTCGGCGATAATCCCATTGCTTTGAGCTTGTTGAGCAGATTTTCATGCCAAACTTTGTCGAATGCTTTAGATATATCTAAGGCAATTGTTCTTGTTTCACCCCGCAACTCAATCGCTTTTTGCCATAAGTGAGTGACGTATGTAAGTAAATCGCCAGTTGACCTATATTTTCGAAATCCGTATTGCTTATCGTTGATAATTTTGTTCTTTTCCAAGTACTTGGTTAGGTGATTGTTCACAACTCTTTCCATTACTTTTGATATCACCGGAAGTAGAGCAATTGGT